AAGTTGAAAACAGTCCTCAGGTGCACAAGTAGGTATTGAACAAATCCTTTACATCATGGGAGCTTTGATATGAGGTTTCGCTCACATCCCATGAGTTAGTAACAACACTGAGTTTATATAACACGTAACCTTTGTTGTGTCTCTAGTGCTCACCTTAGCACACTGTCTCCAATTATATTTTTTCAGTGGTATCAGCAGCCCCTGCAGAGAGAAAACAGCAGAAAACTATCATTAAGATGAATCCATCCATACTAAGGTAATGTGGTAGATGTGAGCGGTGAAATGTTTCACATTACTGCCCCGACACCTCCACCCTCCAAACAAGGCCTGTTAGTTTTCTTCTTTCATTGTTCTTCTTGGGTTGAAACGTGGAACATTAAGAGGCAGCTGCATGTCTAACACTGTACATGCAGCTGCCTCACCTTGGTGTAATTTGCCTTCTGATGAATCAGCTACCTGTCACCTTCATTTTTTTCTTCAGTGAGGACCAATCAGAGTCTGGCACCTAGAAACTTACCTTGGTATAGTGAGCGATGGCTTGAGCCTCATTTTTTTTGTGATAAAGATAAAAGTCACCGCAGCGCTGATGGATAGTCTGACAATCCTTTTCCTCCTCCACCTCTGGTAACTTCTCCAAGCACTGCTGGAAAGCCTCCTCAGCCCTGAGAAACAACGAGATGATGAGGAATCTACAGCCAGAGGAAAGAAAGGAGGAAGCCCTGCAGTTTTGTTTAGACAAGTACCTGCTCATATCCCCTTCCTCTGCACACAGCAGTGCAAGATCAGCCCACGCACGGACAAAAGGTCTCTTCCTCTTCACAGATTCTTCAAGGTGACTGATACAAATACGCCTCCACTTACGCACCTCTTCTGTGGAGCATTAAAGGATGATTTGAGTTGTGTTGATTAAAGGACAACATGCAGTATATGTCTGTGTACCTCTGTTGCTGAAGCGCCTGCGACACTCCTCAGCAATCATTTTCTGCTTGTAGCAGAGAGCCAGCTGGTAGTTGAAGGAAGATAATTGATCGCCCCTTTTCAGTCCTCGCTCAAACACATCAATAGCCTCATCCAGTCGATTCTGGAACACATTAAAAACCACTAATCAGATACAAATATTCAGATCAATTTGAGGATAGAAGAAGAAAAATAACAGAAGAATGGTTTAAACTCTTAACAGCTATAAATGCAAACACTGGAAAAGTGATGACTTTAGAAGGAAATTCTCTCTTGTTCACAACTTATACAAATGCATGAAAATCTATAAAAAAAAAAAACTTGACAATCAGGAGACAGATACTGTTTCTACTTTTAAGATTAGGTTTAAAACTTTCCTTTTTGCTAAAGCATATAGTTAGGGCTGGATCAGGATTTCGGCCCTGCTTTTATAGGATTCTATATGCTTCATCAGGTTTTGGCCTCCAACTTGCACTGGAGTGGTTTGCAGGCAACTGTGAAGTGGCAGCAATTAGAATCTGCACGTCTAAATGAGAGGCTGTGGTCCTCAGCCAGAAAAGGGTGGAGTGTCCACTCTGATTCAGGGACAAATTGCTGCCCCAAGTGGAGGAACTGAAGTGTTTCAGGGTCTTGTTCACGAGTGAGGGGAGATTGGCAGATGGATTGGTCCTGCAGCTCATGTGATGCAGATGCTGCCCCGGTCAGATGTGGTAAAGAGAAAGCATAAAAGCGAAGCTCTTTATTTACCAGTTGATCTACGTCTCTACCGTCACCTATGGTCGCAAACTTTGACTAGTGACCAAATCTGATTGCAGATACAAGGGGCAGAAATTAGGTTTGTCCAAAGGGTGGCTGGCCTCTCACTTTAAGATAGGGTGAGGAGTTTGGCCGTCCAAAAGGGGCTCAGAGCAGAGCCGCTGCTCCTCCACATTGAAATAAGTGGAAGAAGATGGATGGATGGATATTCATAAATTTGAAATGTAATCAGTGTGTCTGTACTTACTATGGGAAATTTATAAAACTTCCTGTAAAACATTAATACAAATTTGCAGCAGTGGACGCCACAGTTGACTGTCTACCTCAGGTTTAATGGCTGGTTGTTCTCGTCCCTGAATCAGTACAGTATCAGGATTAAGGAGAGCAAAAACACCCAAGCTGTTCAGGATTACAAAATAGGAAAGGAAATGAAGGCCTAA